TTTTGGACTGGACAAAAGAAATATATATACACGTACAAGAAGAAAAAAACAGAGATCAGGTGAAAAAACACCATGCTCCGTTCTCAATAAAACTATGGTTTTCGGGGTTTTGCGTCCGCTAAAAGGCCAGTGCACAGCGCCAACCGTAAGAGAAACAGCGAATAACTGACTTTCCGGAAGACGGTCAGATTTTCAAGTTTACATTGACGGGTAGGCCCCCTATCTATTTTTTTCTGTCGGAAGACGGTCAAAAATGGAGGATGGATCAACAAAGATGATTTGGAAGACTGTAAGAAAATATTTCTGGCTCCGCCCCAAGTTATGGGTAGGTTTACTAGTATGTGCTTGTCAACTGGGAGACGGGAGCAGGATGGGACTTCCGCACACAAGGGTGGGCTGGAACAAATGGAACGATGTGGACCACGCCCAGTACGAGTATATATGTGTTTCCCACGCACTAACAGAAAGTGGCGATCTCATCTGAAACCACGGACGTTGACAGGTTGTTATGGTCATGTGTCTGTGACAGCACTATAGCCAGCTGTTCTCAACTTGGGTCTCGTGACACGGGTGGTGTAGAAAACGAACAGTCCGGACAAGTTTTTGAAATTTGCGAAAACACTATTACGTGGATTGATGTCAAACTATAGATTTGATTGGCTGGCGGCGCATCCGTTGCGAGAACTGCTCGAATAGAACTTCTTGCACGACAGGGGGCGTAGCAGACCTCTCTGTCTGTATATAAACAGGGTGTGGCTCACAGTGCAGCATTTGTACCAGTCTTTGTGCAGACCTTCCGTCTTGCTCCGGTCTACCAGCTGAGAAGCACACGCCAGTACGATGTTCAGCTTCAAGCCGTTTCTCCTGCTGTTGGCTTTGTGGTCTTGCCTGTTGTTAACGGACGCAAAACGCCGAAAACAGACGCTCACGAAGAAGACTCCAAAGTTTGGAACACTGTCCGAAAGGGTCCTTAGGAGAGAGTTTCAAGACTTTCTCAGTAAGAAACTGCTCGCTCTAACAGCGGTAAGTCACATGTTCAACAACGGTTAGCTGGCGGTGTTGCCGACTAATTCAATATCGACAAAACATTGTTGGATTGATTTGTCATTGGTATATTCTACCGAACCTTGTCACCTCTACCCTGTGTCATGAGATGTAGTTGTATGGAGTTTTGGACGGCACATTTAATAGACGGTTATGTTACCATTTTGGCATGGCCAAGAAAGCATAAAGTCAAATGATTAACCAAGCTGACTGCTTTCGGCCTGTGGTCGTGATTCGCGAAAAGTTGTCTTCACAGTTGGTTGAAGCTTCAATTCTGTTTGATTACGTTTAGGTCACAGATTAAAAAAAACCGTCAACTGCTGTCTTAGTTGTGAGAATAAATCTTTACGTTTTGCTGCTGGTAGCACAATAGTTGTTATTCACCTGAGTGTTGAAGGTATCGATGATAAGAACAATATAAAAGTATGTATCACTCGTAATTCTTGACATGTGTCACTTTTTTTAGTTCTCCAGTGATACACATTTACTGGACCTTAACAAATTAAGTTGTTCGTTGTGGCAAATTTCAAAGCTCATCTGGTATTTTAGAGTACACGTCATAATCTGTGACTACTCTTACTTTTTAAAACCTATCCTTTTTATGGAATTAATTGTTTTTCATCATGCCAGGGGCCATCAGCTATATATGCTACGAAACTACGGCGATTCGCCCGCCTCTTCGACCTAAACAGGGACGGCATAGTGAGCAAAGCGGAAGTCGTTGGGGAGACGGTGCAGGAAGCAAACAGCGCATTAGACAAGGAAACGGCTGCCGAAGTTGCCGACACTGTAACCGAGGCATGGAAAGCCGTGTTCGCGGTGCCCGAGGAAGGACTGAGGATTGACTCTGATGATCTCGTTAAGAGAGCCGGCAAACTATGTACCAGTGAGGACAGGAAGAGGGAACTCAGGATCTGGGCGAGAAGCGTCTTTGAAGAGTCCGACTCGGACCGCAACAGTAAGCTTAGTTCAGCAGAGTACCGGCTGACTTTTGGCATGTTCCACGTTCCTCCTACCGGCCTCAAGGCGTCTTTCACCGGAGCTGATGCAAACAAGAACGGCAAAGTGGAAAAGGTTGAATTTGTCAATGCAGTTTTAGACTATTTCTGCAACAAGTCTAAAGATTCTCCATTCTTCGGCCCGTAGGTAAAATGAAATTATAAAATCGGACTTGACCTGCTTCTGCGCTTTAGAAATTTCAACAGGCAGAGATCAGATTTGTTTTTACAACATGGATATGGACTTTTTTACCGATGATATACGTTACTGTTTTGCCTACTACTACAGTTACTAGTAATAAGAAACTACTTGTTAATGACATGTTTACTTGTTCAGTAAATCGCCTATACGTTAAAAAAAATCCCTCAGTAATAAAATCTATCTAGCAGATATATCACTTTGTTGTTCTCTTGTAACATTGAACCCCCCCTTCCCCAGTCAAATAAATTAAATTAAATTAAATTAATCAAGGTCCAAGTGAGCAAGTGTGTAATGGAAACTGATTAATTAAGATTAATATTCTCTACGTGGATATGGGCTCTTTTTATCGATGCTATTTCTTAGTTATGAGAAACTACCTGCAGTTCTTACAAAACAAAACGCGTGTTTACCATCATATAACAGCTTATAACCTACATTTCTATCGTTAATTCATCCATTTGAATTAAATGTTTTATTTGCGGTTGTTTTACATCATATATCTCCCTAGGCACCATCCACAACATGGGGAGTCATTTTTACCAAAAATTATCAATTTTGTATCTACAACAAGGGGCACTGTCATAATCCAGGTCTGTGGGGGTTCAACAAAGGCTGCATGGATGAGTAACCAACCGACAACCAGCAATGCCCGCCAGCGGCCGCTTCATCCCTGACTTATTTTTTATTTAAAACATGCGAAGGAGATAAAGGCGGGAGACCGGATTTATTTTTAAATAAATAAAAAATAAGTAAAATAGCTCGAGGCCACAGTTTAAAAAGTAACCTTTTTAGAACCGCGCAATAGACAAGAGCATACAAGACACCACTGGAACATTTGTGTACTGGACAGCAGTCCACTAATAAACATTATGAAAAGACATTATGAGAGAATAAAAAACAAGTAAATGGAAAATGGATAAAAGGGGATCTCGGTGCATTTACGTATTAATAATATACACAGTCACAATTTCAAAAGTCAAGTTTAGATAGGCGATTTTCTGGCCTGCGGTCGTACAATTAAAGTTAATCTTAATACTCTAACATTTTGAAAACTGAGGGCAACTTCTACACAGTAACTTAAATCCTTTTATATGAAAGATCGGGTTAAACAGGTACATATAACAAAATAAAAAAAAAAACATTTTTGAGACATTTATTTAAAGGTAATTTTTTTACGAAAGTAGACCATTTTGATGTGTTACTTGAAATTACCGTTAAATGTTCCATTGAGAACTATTAGAAAGTAGTTGTTTCTACCGTCTTGAAGCAAGCTGTTCAGTTTTACGTATACCATCAGTTAAATTGGTTCTATAGCCATGAACTGTATAGATTTTTCTCTGTAAAATATCTGATATGGAAGAGGCAGTTGAGACCTATTGCCCGAACAATGGGGAATCCTGCGATTTATTACAAAAATAATCTACAACTGCATCCACAAGTTCAACCTTTTCGACTGAGCCATTATTGTTTCTATCCGCGGCGACAAAGGATGCCTCGAGACCAGCCGGGGGAACACGGAGCATCTCAAATGAGAGCCTGTGCTCGGATCGACTAAGTTCGGCGTTGTGGTTAGTGTCGGCCTCTTCAAAGACGTTTCTTGCCCATATTCTGAGTTCCCTCTTCCTGTCTTCATTGCCACATACCATGTCGGCTGTCTTCACAATATCATCGGAACTGATCGTTAGTCCATTTTCAGGCATGCCGAACAGGGCCTTCCATGCCTCAGCTACAGTGTCGGCCACTTCGGCAGCCGTTTCTGTGTCTAGCGAATTCTTTGCTTCCTCTACTGTCTTCCCAACGATTTCGTCTTTGGTCACTACGCCGTTGCCGTCAAGGTCGAAGTGGCGGGCAAATCGACGTAGTTTCATAGCCCATACGTCAGATGGCGCCTGGTATGACAAAATGTGAATTAAATTGATAATACAACGGGCTAAAAAAAAGTGGCTGAAATGAACCATTTAAAAAGATAATGACTCGTTTTCCTGCCATTCTCTGGTCATTTCTGAACTGAAATTACCATAATGAGCAGTTTTATAAAGCAGAGTAACTAGCGGTGTTAAGAATTCCGAATGGTATTTCCATTGCACTTGTCACCGATCTCTTCAAATTTTAGATTTTAAACAACTGCCAAAAACCAAAAGATCAAAGCAAAAGTCTAAAAGGATTTTTCACATCTATAAGATGTCTTCCAGTACGTGAATGTTTAATAATCGTCTAAGTGATTTGTAGAAAATCACGACCACAAGTCCAAACCTGTCAGCCGGAATAATTCAGTGACTCGGTACGACGCTCGTCAAGGACACTGAATTGTAACATTTTCCTCTACCAACTAATGCGCCAATTCTAACATTGGACAAATAACGTTTTATTCGTCCAAGGTCTAATAGATCAAACAACAGATGACTTCAATCACCAGGATTTAGCCAATTATAGGGGGACGTATTTAGAAACACGGTGTATACAAGGCAACATTTAACTAACGAAACTATATTGATTTGGTCGGCAATAGAACTGTTGAACGCTGAATAGAAGTATTGGACGCTGTTAACCCTATGACTTACCATTCGTTGGCCAAACAGCTTCTCATCGAGAAGATCTTTAAATTCTCTCGTAAGGATATCGTCATACAGAGAGCCAAGCTCTCGAGTCAGCCTCGGTTTTGCCTCCGTAAAGAACAGGCAGGTGCCCAAAGCCAACAGGAGAAAAAACGGCTTGAAGCTGGCCATCTTTCTGGGTCGGTTTACTGGTAACTGCTTGGTTTACCCGCTATGTGGTGGAAAGGAACAAACTGGAACGTCCGCACACAAGGGTAGACGAGACCAAATGTTGCGGTGTGAAAGATGGAAGATCACTTTAATACCCATCGATGTCATGCTAGAAAAAATATTTTTGAAAGATGAAAATTAGAGATGTCTCTTACTTGTCTTCGATGTAATTACCCACGTTGCCCCCAAGCAAATGTAAGTCCCACTTCTATCGTCCCACTTATTTTTAGTGCTATATTTTTGACAATCCTTAAAAATTGACCCACGAACTGTCACCCACAAATGTGAGAGTCGTGCAGTTGGAGCCTGTTATTATTTTCATAGGTATATATTACTATTTTTCACAATTGAAATTCATGAGTGCCCTCCTGCTGCTATTGTACTGTTGTAAATCTAAGATAATCATCATGTTGTCACCGTTGTGTCACACGTAACACATACATTAAGTCAGCTGCTGAGTGTTCCAGTGGAACAATGTGTCTGTGGATAGGAGTCATGCGAGGTAAGGGGTAGTGATCCATGCACTAAAGGCGCATTCCCAACAAAACTATCGTTCTACGTTAATCGAAACAATTCTGCAGGGACTCGTTGAGGAGGTGATCAACTGTCATGTGCACTTCGTTTTTGGGTGCTTCCTATGAAAACTGAGACGCAGCTGCTATTACACAATAAAACCGGGCTATAAGGCTTTGACTTGTTTTATTGGACGGTGTTAACATAAAAATAGAGCAGAAAACATTTTAGAATAATTTTATTAAGATATTTTTCTCAATCTGTTGGCGACTTGTTGTACTAAATTTGAATTACATGTTCTTGTAAGAACTTCTTATAGAAATAAGTCTTTTTGTCCTCGCAGTGATAGCTGGGCTTTATACAGTAGTCTTACTGTACATATACGGTAAGATCACACTTAAATGTCATGTTGTGGAAGTTAATTGGATATATATTTTACCTTATAATCTCTCATGTCGAAGAGAAAGGTAAGGCCTGATTTTATTTTTTATATTTTTTACCTACGGCCCAAACAATGCAGAATCCTGTGATTTATTACAGAAATATCCTACAATTGCATTGACAAATTCGATCTTTTCGAGTTCGCCATTGTTGTTGAAGTCAGCTCCATGGAAAGATGCTGCGATGGCGGCCTGGGGGACATGAAAGAACAACTTAAACGTGAACTCGTGTTCCGCTGCACTGAGCTTGCAGTCGTGGTTCGTGTCGACCACTTGGAAGACGCTTCGTGCCCACATTCTCAGCTTCCTCTTCCTGAGATCACTGCTGCACTGTCTTGCCCCCAACACATCTTCAGAATTGACGTCAATTCCGTCGTCCGGCATAGCGAACACTGTGCTCCATGCCTCGGCCACAACATCGGCGACTTCTGCGGCCATTACCCCGTCAAGGGCGTCTCCCGCTTCCTCTACGGTCTTTTGAACGACTTCGTCTTTGGTCACAACGCCGTCCCCGTCAAGGTCGAAAAGGCGGCCGAATCGACGCAGTTTTCTAACCCATACAGCTGGTGGAGCCTGGTATGATAGAAAATTAATTTATATGATAAATAAACAGGTTTAAAAAGTGGCTGAAAGCAACAACTAACAAATAAATTTAAAAAAAAACAAAAAATAACGTGTTTGTCAGATAATTTCTGAAATAGGATAGCCGTAAGGAACATTTCATTATGGTCTAGTGATTTTTTGTCAATGACAATTTATTTCATTTGCTTCAGCCTCATTCTTTGAAAAACACCACAGGAGTATATGTACATCCAGGAAAACGAAATGTCCAAGAAGTACATCATCCAAGTAGTCAATAAAGTGATATATTGTCATGAATTTAGAGTGTTAAAAATGTTCATTTTGCTATTATCACCGATACTTAGTACATGTATGTCCGTAACAACTTGAGCTAACTGCACTACCACCAAAAAGTACTAAGCCTTATAATTATTTATCACGTCTTAAACTTCGAGTTGAAAAATTTCAACAACTATCTAATTGATTTAAATTTAATGCATGCATTTAAGCTGTGAACAACTCGGAGGGAACCACGTCCATAATGGCAAGGAACTTGATGCCAGGCTTGACCATGAAGCTACATAAGCAGGAGACGCAACACTTAAGGGTGGTGCCCGTTTGCCGCTCTCTGATTGGTCGGAATGTATAGAGTGCTGAGTACAATGGGAGGCAAGGAGCGTAACGCCCACACAAAATTATCCTGGCACAGGACATCGTTGAACGGAAAAGACGCCTTGATTATCTCATAAAACTTCTGGGCTTGACCAAGAAAAAATGGTTATGTCTCCCTTAAATGAACCTACGCGAAAGATAGGTCTTAAAAATGATCCCTTAATAATGATCTTTATGATCCTGTTGATCGTGACCTAAGCCTTCAAAACGACGCAGTAGAGGCAACCAGAAATGACCAATAAAGACGAGGCAACATCAAACTCCAGAAACTGACAAACAAAAACCCTTGACCACATAGAATCAGTTGGAAATAAGGTTGAGGGATAAACGCTACGAACCATATGACTTATCGCTCTTAGTTCTAATAGTTTCTCGTTGAGAACGTCTTGAAATTCTCTGCTTAGGACATCTTCATACAGAGTTTCCAACTCTCGAGACGGCTGCGCAAGCGTGGGTCTTTTGCGTAATGCGTCCGCTAATAACAGGCAAGTGCTCAAAGCCAACAGGAGGAGAAGCGGCTTAAAGCTGACCATCGTTTTGGTTGGTTCACTGGTATGGGGTGGGTTTTAACGTTAAGTGGTGGACAGGATCAAGCCGAAACGTCCGCGTACAAGGGTAGACGGGACCAAATGTTGCAATGTGAAAGATGGAAGTTTTCTTATATAAGCACTGATGTCATGTTTTGAGGAAGCACAATTAGGGACGTCTCTTGCTTGCTTTCCTCTTTGTTGCTTCCGATGCCTTAGAACAATTACTAACTTCTATTACCTAACTCTTTTTGTATACTAGTAGTTTTCGCAACCTTAATAATATGCACTGACAAAGTGGCAACCGTATTCTGATAACTGTGTGACGTGATCACAGTTATTATTTCACAGTTATCATGCATTTTCATTGTATATCCACCCTTTAAAAACAAGAGTGCACTTGGTCATTTCACCGTTGAAAGTCTATATAGTAATCTTCGTGTGACCACAAGGCAGACACGTGTGTTACAAAAATGTCGCCAGTCAGCAAACTGTTACAATGTACCAATTGATTGCGTGCGGTCTCTATACACTTAAATATTTCAAGAAGCAGCTGAATGTACGTCACGAGTTGAAATGTCCCAAGACAGATAACAAGCTTGAGAAATTCATTTTCAAAAATGTTATCTCCATTAGTCAAAAAGGTTTCCCCAACCCCAATTCCATGTGCTTTTATTAAGAAATGATCACCTTAAACTTGCAAAATATCTTTCTAAACCTTTATTTATTTACTTATTTATTCATTTATATATTTATTTTTAATTTCATTTCATTACATTTCTCTGTCTGTGTCTATGTTTGTAACTGTCAATCCATTAATATTCTTCATCAACTCTGTCATAATTTACTCCAAGGGTTAAGGCAGTGTATAGTTATTTCTTCGCCAACATCCCTCGAACCTCTGTGAACGGTAAGAACAGCTCTGCCAGCACCAAGGAGAGCCTGAAGACACCTGCAGTGTACCCCCTCATCCAGATCTTCCCCTGTAACAACTTCAATGTCAACAGGTGTCGCAACAGGCAAACTCTTCGATGTAGGTGTGCTTTTTATTCATTCATTTATTTTTTATATTTATTTATTTATTTATTTATTTATTTATTTAATGAATTGCAATTTACTATGTATAATAGAATTATAAGATCACTTAATCAGGTATATATTTCTATTCATTCATATATTCATTCATAAGAATATGCGAGTACTATCCGGTATTTTCGGGAAAAATTCAGATCTGCACACCAAAAGTTTTCTCCCACATATGCCCCGGCCCATAGTTCATTTCAACTGAAAAGTATAATTTGTTTTTCATTGACTGGTCAGACATTAAGACGGCCTTGTACATTAGGGAAGATGGACACCTGGTCCATCTATCAATCATTTTGTTGTGGGAGGGGTTAACGATCTGAATAGGGAAAGGTATGTAGATTTGCAAGATATCTATACACAGAAAACGAGGTTTTGGAGCATTTTCAGAAGAACAAATGTAAAATCTGTTAGATTTTTCTCAATATCCACATTTGCATTTTTAACGCCTTTATTGTTACAGTGAAAGTTAGCTCACCCAATGGCACGGATACGTTTACCCATACGCCCTGGCGCGGTAACTATGGCAATATCATTGGCGTCCATGTCGTCCGTGTTTGGTTTTTACTAACAATAGAACCCAACCCTACGCGTTTGCATAAACATCGTACCTGACGGTCCTCTGGCAAAAGAATCTGCACCTAACCGAGATAAAGATGGCGCCTGAGCGTGATAAGAAGCTTTGATTTTAAAACATTTAAAAAGTGATCGTCCAAGCGTTTACGGCTTCATTCTAATTTGATTGCGTATGCTACCGTCTGATGCAGAGGAGATACAACGGATACCCCAAATCAATTTCCTCCGTCAGCCAAAAAAAAACAGCTTTAAAACAGCACCTTCTTCAATTTTCTGCTTGTAAAATTAACCTATTTATCGGACCCCTCCAGTCCGCCAAGTGACGTAGTAATGTATTGTTTATTAGTGCTGCGCGCTCACTATTTTAAGCATTATTATTTTTTAAAAAAGTGAGACTCGGCAAAAAAACAGCCGAGGGTTATGCCTGTATATAGCGCAGAGACAAAACAGAAAATATCTGATAAAATGTATATTTTCGGGAAACATGAAACGATACCCTTTCTTATTTCAAACTACATGGTCGCATATGGTCGGGCACATTGGCAAAGATTTGACTTTATATGTAACTTTAATATGTTTGACTGGGCTGAATTAACGCACACATAAAACAGGAAAGATTTTTAGAGAAGTTTTATTGAGATGACTTTTCTCAGCCTGTAGGCGATTTGTTGTAACACGCCATATTTCCCATTAAATTTTCTTGTAACAACTATATTTAGAAAGTCTTTTTTCCTTTGTAAAAACAGTCTATACAGTCTAACGTATACTATCGGTTGAATTGGATCGAAAGGTATGTTGCGGAGAAGTTCTAGATGATTTTTTCTCTTTAAAATCTCTCATGTTGAAGATACAGGTGAGGCCTGATTTTCATTTTTCTTTTTAATCTACGGTCCGAACAATGCAGAATCCTCAGATTTATTACAGAAATAACCAATCATTGCACCGAGAAATTCAGCCTTTGTAATCTCGCCACTGCCGTCGGCATCAGCCGCATCGAAGGAGGCCGCGAGAGCGCTCTGGGTCACGTGGTTCATACCAAATGTTAACCCATGCTCGGCTCTACTCAGCTTGCAGCTCAGGTCGGAGTCACTCTCTGAGAAGACACTTCGTGCCCAAATTCTTAGTTTTCTCTTCCTGTCGTCATTGTTACATACCGCGTTGCCTATGGCCAGAATAGCAGCAGAATCGATGTCAATGCCACTGTCAGGGATGACGAATACTGAGCTCCATGCCTCGGCTATAGTGTCTGTAATTTCGTCAGCGGTTTCCGAGTCAAGGGCGCTCTGTACTTCCTGCACTAGCTGTCCAACCGCCTCGGCTTTGGTCAGTATGCCGTCGCCGTCACTGTCGAAGAGGCGGGCGAATCGGCGTAGTTTCGTAGCCCATACCCCTGATTGGGACTGGTAAGATAAAAATTTGAATTAATTTGATTAAAAAAAGCGGGTTTACAAATTGACTGAAAACAACTGTTGTTTGGTGTGTTCTGTCAGATGATTTCTGACATGAAATAACCATAATGCACATTTTAAAATGTCCTGTATTTATCAAATAAATATTTATTTAGTTTATTTAACCACGTGTTACACTTGATGATTTAAGAAACAAAACAAAAATAGAAAATTTAATCTAGGTAAAAAAAAAACACCACGGGCATACATTCAGGAAAACGGAATGCCAAAGAAGTGCTACATACGCGCTGTCATATGTACTAAAATATTTTCAAGTATTTCGAGTGTTGAAAAATTTCATGTTACACTCATCACCGTCACCGATATTTACTTTGCTGAGATGACTATCACAACTTCGGCTTACTGCACTACCC